TCTTCTTCTTCTTCTTCTTCTTCTTCTTCTTCTTCTTCTTCTTCTTCTTCTTCTTCTTCTTCTTCTTCTTCTTCTTCTTCTTCTTCTTCTTCTCAAACCCCACCACAAAGATGTCCCCCTGCGCCTGAGGATCTATGATTTGGAGTGCTCCAAAGGTTATGTTGAGTATCTTCAGTATTTATGGTCTGAGTGCCAGAATAAGGAACTAGGAACTGGGAATGAGGAACTGGGAACTAACTACAGGATCATAAGATAAGCACTGTTATAAGCAGGGGACAAGATGCGATGTTCATAATTGTCGGTTTTGACCTCATTTGATTTTATTTTTTTAAATCTTTCAGTTACAGCTCTGAACAGCGCTGGCAGACTAACTGCTCAAATATTGACTGCCAGTTATCTGACCACAATCAGACATTACCAGTTACGATAAGAAGTTGAAAATGTTGTGACGTAGTTGGCAGCTTCTCTTTTTCATTTTTATGACAGTGTCGTTGTATTGACTGGACGGGGCAGGGGACGACAGAAAAGCGCCCCCTCCTGGCTGGCAGCAGACATTTCCAAGTGGAGTCTGGTTGTTTTTTTTTTTTTAAATAATCGCTACACCTTCGCTTTTGCTTTATTGACGTTTGCCTTCCATTTAAAAACTGCTGACCAAGCCACACTTTATTCTTTGTATTTATAGAAACCTATTTCACTTTGATAAAAGTAGCGGTACTTTATGGCATTTTTAATGTTATTTACAGTGCAGTAGTCTAAGACAAAATGTGCAAGCCGGAGGCTAAAAAAATGTGACCTAGCTCACTCTCACTCAGCTTAGAGGGAACACCGGGCATGTCTGGTGGGGGAGGGGAGAAACTGGCTGGAGTACGTCCAGAAGGGGGCAACGAAGATGATTTGGAGGTTGGAGCCGCTTTCCTGTGAGGAGAGGCTGAAGAGTCCGGGACTTTTCAGTTCAGAAAAAGAGACGACTAAGGGAGGACATAATAGAGGTTTATAAAATCATGCATGGGGGTGGAGAGAGTGGAGAGAACTTTTCCTCCCTCTCCCAAAAGGCTAGAACTGGAGGGCCTTCGATGAAGCTGATGGGCAGTAGGTTCAGGATGGATAGAAGGAAATACTACTTTACGCAGACGGTGATTAAAAATGTGGAATTTGCTTTCAGAGGATGTTGTGATGACCACAGGAATAAAGAGCTTACAAAGGGGATTAGAAAGATTCAGAGAGGATGAGTCTATTAGTGGTTACCAGCCATGGTGACTAAAAGGGAACCTCCATATTCAAAGCCTCCCAGAGCCAGGAGGCAACATCAGGGGAAGGCCTCGGCCTCTCTGCCTTGTTGTTGGCCCCCCAAAGGAACTGGTTGGCCACGGTGTGAGACAAAATGCTGGACGAGATGGACCACTGGCACTGCTCTTATGACCGTAATAAACCTTTGAACTTTGATGGACCCCTGGTCTGATCCAGCAGGGCTCTTGTGATGTTCTAATAAAGGCCTTGGCCTCTCTGCCCTGTTGGCCCTCCAAAGGGACTGGTTGACCACTGTGTGAAACAGGATGCTGGACTAGATGGACCCCTGGTCTGATCCAGCAGGGCTCTTCTGATGTTCTTATGAAGGCCTCGGCCTGTCTGCCCTGTGGTTGGCCCTCCAGGGGAACTGGTCAGCCACTGTGTGAGACAGGTTGGCCACTGTGTGCTGGACTGGATGGACCACTGCTCTGATCCAGCAGGGCTCTTCTGATGTTCTTACGTTCTTGCGTTTGAGTAAACGCCGTAGCACATGTATCAAACATCTTGATGACGAAAATGTCTCCTTTGTTATTCTGATAAGGTTAAATTTTGAGAATAATTGACCAATATTTGAATGGTCAAGGTGGCGGAACCCTAGATCTGGAAACCGAAGCTTCAAAAACACCTTGTGACAATTTCTTTTGAAGAGCGAATCCCCCCGAGCGGCTGAGGTCATGTCGTCGCCACCCTCCAAAGGACGGGCTCTCCTCTGCTCTCTCCTGCTCCTGGGCGCGTGGCCGGCGAGTAATGCGGAAGACGCCTTTTCGGAGCTGAAACTCAAGGAGTATTTCAGCAGTTCGCCAGCATCGAAAGCATCCTTGGTTTATTTTAGGAGGGAAGGTGAGTATCCTCACCTCATGAAGATTTACAGTATTAGTATATTCATTCATTCATTTTTATTACGGTCAGAGACCCATTAAACAGCATACAGAATCAAAAGCAAAAAGCATTACAGAGAAGAGACATCATGAGGAACATTGAGGAGGAGCTTACGCTTTGTAAATACAATAAAGAGAAATTTGGCAACATTCCTTGATATTGCCATGGATTTGTCCTCCAATAGATGTTTCAGCAAAAGTTCCTCAGAGTGGATTACTAATTGTCCTTGGTGCCTGAATGACCTTATTATAGGTGTAATTAAAAGGGCTCTTTCTTCTGCATAATAAGAACACTGGAATAATATATGGAAAAGGGTCTCAATTGACTCGGAAGGGCATGAGCAAAATCTCAAATGCCTAGGGATGCATTGAAATCTTCCGGCAAGAACTGCCGATGGAAAAATGTCAAATCTAGCTCTGGAAAAAGCCCATCTGTGATTTGGGTTGGGAATATTGGCTAAATATAAAGGAGCAGTCATATAAATTTTAGGTTTCAGAGATTTGTAAAGAGGTGAGAGTACAGCATAGGATGTTTGCTACTCAATATCTCTGAGACGTTGGTAAACGATATTTTTTGCCCTATCGTATCCACTTTCCAGTAGTTGGTTCGGGTCCAATCCTAATGATCTCAATTTGTGAATGGCTCTGGTGGACCAGTGAGGGTAAGGGGATGCGGCCAGTAGAAAAAGAAATAACCCAACGGGAAAAAGGTGGACTTTAAGCCAAAAGCAGAGAGAATGCAACCAGATATTCAATTTGACTGTACTGAGACCAGCTTCTTGTCTCAACAAGACATTAGAGGTACATCTTGGCGTATTAAATAAAGATCTCAGAAATTTTGATTGGACCAGTTCTAGTGCCTGAAGGTTTGTAAATCGCAAAATTTGTGTCCCATATCTCATTTGGGCTAGAACTTTAGCAGAGAATAGTATTAGTATACAAGAGGGGAGGGGGGAAGGAAGGAAGGAAAGGGGGGAAGGAAAGAAGACAGTTGGAGTATGGAAAAACTTGTCAGAAACTGCAGTTCCCTTAGGCCAGTGGTCCCCAAAACGGTGTGTCCGGGTGCCTCTCCACCTGCCGAGTGTTTTTTTTTTTTTTAAAGTGGGTGGGGCCAAGTTGGGCTTTTGCCCAGAAAGGCTTCTGATTGGCTACTGGAGATTTGATTGGCTGTGCCGTTTTTTTAAAAACGGGGTGGCACGCCATGCTGGCTCTTTGGATTTTTGAGGAAACCGCCACATAATGGCTGCCACAGGTGTGGGATTGGTTCTTGGTTCGGAGTGACACACGAAAGCTCCTCCCCCTGCCACAAGTTTCCTTAGTCTTCCAGGTGCTACTGGAACCGTGCTCTTTTCTGCCGCTACTGGCAGACTGACACGGCCGCCCATCTTGACCTATCTCAGTGGAAGAAGTAACATATGGAATTCTGCGTCCCAGCACTTTGAAGTGGATCCGGTACGCTATTGGCAGCCAGTGCAGCGCTTTCAGCACAGGCTGAATATGATCAACAGCCTGGCTGCAGCATTCTGCACTAGCTGCAGCTTCCGGATTTGCGACAAAGGCAGCCCCAAGTAGAGAGCGTTAACAGTAATCTAATCAGAATATGGTCCTTGTTTGTGTTCCAGCTTCTCAGTCTGTGGATGTGTTCCTGGAACAGCTGGAGAACTCCGTAGAAGCTCTTCGAGATTATGGGATTTCAGTCTTGAAGGTAATTCAAAGTGATGTTTTCTTGCCTTAGAAATTGCTCGGGCAGTCTTTTCGAGAGTCACTGTGGTGTAGCAGTTCAGAGTGTCAGACTAGCATCTCGGGAGACCCAGGTCCGAATCCCCACTTGTGACACGGAAGCCCGTTGGGAGACCTTGGGCCTGTCACAGCCTCTTGGCCTAACTTACCTCACAGGGAATGCTCCCTCTCTGCTGTGGAGTCTTGTGAGCAAAAATTCTACTTTGTGAGCTCCTGACATTGAAGTTGTGAGCGAGCGATTTGGCGACTACATCAGTTAGTTTGCTCTGGAGCCATCCCTTCCTGAGCGAAGGCAAAAATGTGTGAGCCGGAGGCTGGAAAACTGTGAGCTGGCTCACACTCACTCAGCTTAGAGGGAACACTGCTCACAGGGTCGTTTTGAGGCTAAAACGGAGGAGAAGAGAGAGTGACGTAAGCCGCTTTGGGTCTCCATTGCAGAGGATGACAGGATGTAAATGGAACAGATGAGGAAATAAATTTGCTTCCAGCTCCAAAAACTGATCTGTACCGGCAAGGTACATCCAGGGCTATTTTTGGGCAGGAACGCACAGGAACGGAGTTCCCGCTGGTTCCCAAGTTGGCCACGCCCAGCAGGAACTCATTAGCATAGTAGGCCACACCCAACAGCAGGAACTCATTAGGATTGGCTACATTAGGGGTGTGTGGCCTAACATGGAAAGGAGTTCCTGCTACAAAAAAAGGCCCTGGGTTTGGACCACAAACAAGGTAAACAGAATAAGAAGCAAAGGGTGGGTGTGGCTGGATAACCACACTTCTGGTAACATGGGAATGCGGCCTGATATGCTAATGAGTGATGCAGTCAGGGGTGTGGCCTATTATGCTAATGTGTTCCTGCTGGACTTTTTCTACAAAAAAAGCCCTGGGTACAACCACGTGCCCTGACACGCTTCGGTTTGTCCAGACGTTTAGCACAGACTTCTGCTTGTCGGACGAAAGGTCTCTCCGTAGTCTCAAATGCGCAATCTTTGCTTTGGCGGGAGGTCGGGGAGGGAGGCAAGTTTGTAGCAGAAGGAACAAGAGCGGGATGTTGAGACGCACCAGTCCCACGGCACAGAGAGCCGGCGAGATCAAACTTGTCCCGCTGTGATAAGATAGTGACTTCAGGGTGGTGATTTTTAATGTCAGGGTCCTTTCAAGTGGTTTATTTGGAAGCTTTCTGCGTCCGCCTCTCCCTATCTCCAAGGCTTTACAGTATCACAAACAAATACGGACAGTAGGCAAAACGGGACAAAAACACGTGGCCCAAAGCTAAGAGATCAGCATCGGAGTGAAAACGAGAGACCGTTATCTTTTTAGAAAGGTAACCAGGCCACATATAGCGGCAAGACGCAGAGCCTTCGAAAAGAGTTTAAAGGACTTGTAATTGTTGTTTTTTATGTCTTTGTATTTCTTCTTAGCTTTGGTTTTAATTGCTTTAATGATACGTCGCTGCGGTTGTCGTCAGTGTTCCCTCTAAGCGGAGTCATTGTGAGCTAGCTCACAGTTTTTTAGCCTCCAGCTCACACATTTTTGTCTTAGCTCAGGGAGGAGGGCTCTGGGGAAAACTAATTGATGCAGCAGCAGCCAAATCGCTCGCTCACAACTTTAATGCCAGGAGCTCACAAAGTTGAATTTTGGCTCACAAGACTCCACAGCTTAGAGGGAACATTGGTGGTCGTCTGTTTTGAAAGCCCTCTGGGCACAATGTTCAAAAGAGCAACCCTAGGATCTTTTTGTATTTCTGGGCAGAATTTCTCTCCCTGACTAATCGGTTTTCTTCGTTAGCTGCCTTGGAGGCCTGTGTGAGGGCAGAAAGAAAGGCGGGAGATACATTTTCTTTAGAATAAATAAAAGTAAAATAAATAAGTAACACAAAGGGGGCATAAATACACAAGAGCTGATCAACTCTCCATGGCTGCGGTCACACACACACACACATAATAATAATAATAATAATAATAGATTGGATTTATACCCCGCCCTTCACTTGGAATCTCAGAGCGGCTTACAACCTCCTTTCCCTTCCCCTCCCCACGACGGACACTGCGAGGTAGGTCGAGCTGAGAGCGCTCTGGCAGAAACTGCTCTTTTTTCAAGAATAGCTCTGACAGAACTATGGCTTGCCCAAGGTCATCCAGCAACTGCAAGCGGAGGAGTGGGGAATCAAACCCGGTCCTCCCAGGTTAGAGTCCGTGCACTTAACAATGACACCAAGCTGGCTCTCCACTTTTAATGCACTTTCCGAGGATTTTGCCAGTTCACACAGTAATATCCAGTTGGAAAGTGCCTTGAAAGCAGATTGAAAATGGATCATTTAATGTGCATGGCTCCAGCCCCAGTGGCACTAGTTTTTCGAGAGGCCTCTGGGAATCGAAGCATTTCTGCTTGGCATCTAAAAGATTGTGATTCAATACCAGTGAGCGTCACTGTGCAGGGGGTTCTACAGCTCAGGCCAGGTTCTCAAATCTTTTTGAGCCTCTGGGCAACGCTCCCTCTAAGCTGTGGAGGCTTGTGAGCAAGTCTTCTGAACAATGACGTATACATGTGGTGTCTCTCTGCTTCATTTCAACTGATTCATCATCAACAATTTCATGGATCTCTCAGGATTGTCTAATACATTGTGGAAACAGTTTCTAGAAAAGCCCATGGAAAAGCCCTGAGAGATCCATGAAATTGTTGATGATGAATCAGTTGAAATGAAACAGAGACACCACATGTATATATCATCGTTCAGAAGAAGACTCGTGTCGAAACAGCAGAACATTCCGGAGATCACCGTCTTCACTTGCATTCGATACGTTATGCAAATATTGTACACTCTTTTGTATGAAATCTTTTTGATTAATATTTCAAATTTATTAGCACAAACTCCTGCACTGTTTTTTTTTGCTTCACTGGACAGTGCCAGAATGAACTGTAGCGACATCTTGTGACAACTGATGGGTATTGCAAGCAGTATAACCACATTTGACGTGGCTGAAACGCAAGGTGATACAGCGCCTGTGCTGAGGACGACACCCATTTATTAGAGCTAGATTTGAGCCCAGTAGTACTTTAGAGACCAACAAGATTTAGGGGTTATAAGATTTTGAGAGCCAAAGCTCTCTTTGTTAGAAGGGAGTTTTGACTCTCAAAAGTTTATACCCAGAAAATCTTGTTGAGTTGTAAAGTGCTAGTGAACACAAATCTTCCGCTTCTGCTGTAGGCCGTCATAGCTACCCGCTGAAACCCATTTATTAGGCACATCTAATGTTTGCGCATGTCAACACATGAAGAAGCTGCCTTATACTGAATCAGACCCTGGGACCATCAAGGTCAGCATTATCTACACAGACCAGCAGCTGCTCTCCAGGGTCTCTGGCTGAGGTCTTTCACATCACCTCCTGCCTGGTCCTTTTAACTGGAGATGCCGGGGATTGAACCTGGGACCTTCTGCATGCCAAACAAATGTTCTACCACTCAGCCACAGCCCCACTTCATGGGTCTCCAGGGTCTCTGGCTGAGGTCTTTCACATCACCTCCTACCTGGTCCTTTTAACTGGAGATGCCGGGGATTGAACCTGGGACCTCCTGCATACCGAGCAGGGGCTCTTCAATTGAGCCACGGCACACCCCCACACTGGTTATTATTCGAGAGGATGATAATGCCACGAACCATTTCCGTAGCCTTTTATGAAGTTCAGAGAGTTTTGTGTACATCCTATCGGTGTGAGGATATCTTTTCTTCTTCACAGGTTAACTGCCTCCGAGAAGAAAGATCAGGATACTGTAGAGAGGACAGTTCTGTGGGGAAAGCGTACCTGTTCAAGTAAGTCCGTGGATCTGTTGGCAGATGCATACGTTAAAACTAATTGGATTTACAAAGGAAATGCTTTGGGACCGGGCCATCCACAAGCACAGGAGAACAGGGAGTTGATTGATTGATTACTTTGGCTTCATGTAGAGCTCACCTTTCTCACTGAGACTCGGCAGATTACAAAATATGAAAAACGATGCCGTCAGATAGAAGAAGAAGAAGAGCTGGATTTGTAGGCCACCCTTCACTTGGAGTCTCAGAGTGGCTTACAGTCTCCTTCCCCTCCCCACCACAGACATCCTGTGAGGTAGGTGGGGCTGAGAGAGCTCTGAGAGAATCTCTCTTTCAAGAACAGCTCTGACAGAACTAGGGCTTGCCCAAGGCCATCCAGCCAGGTGCAAGTGGAGGCGTGGGGAATCAAACCCGGTTCTCTCAGACTAGAGTCCACGCACTTAACCACGACACCAAACTGGGTGTCAGAGCACCTGCTTGACATACAATAGAATAACAAGGAGAGATTGGATTTATACCCCGCCCTTCACTACCCAAAGGAGTCTCAGAGCGGCTGACAAACTCCTTTCCCTTATCCTCCCCACAACAGACACCCTGTGAGGTAGGCGGGGCTGAGGGAGCTCTTGACAGAAACTGCTGTTTTTCAAGAACAGCTCTTGTCAGAACTATGGCTGCCCCAAGGTCATCCAGCAAGTGGAGGTGTGGGGAATCAAACCCGGTTCTTCCAGATTAGAGTCCGCACACTTAACCATGACACCAAACTGGGTGTCAGAGCACTTGCTTGACATACAATAGAAGAACAAGAAGAGATTGGATTTATATGCTGCCCTTCACTACCCAAAGGAGTCTCAGAGCAGCGGCTTACAAACTCCTTTTCCCTCCCCCTCCCCACAACAGACACCCTGTGAGGTAGGTGGGGCTGAGAGAGCTCTGACAGAAACTGCTCTTTTTCAAGGACAGCTCTTATCAGAACTACGGCTTGCCCAAGGCCATCCAGCCAGGTGCAAGTGGAGGAGTGGGGAATCAAACCCGGTTCTCCCAGATCAGAGTCCGCGCACTTAACCACGACACACCAAACTGGTGTGCAGCATTCAATAAACAATGAAGTTAGGCTAGGATTTGGGGGGGGGGAGTCACAGCTGACTTCTGGCGACCCCGTAGGGTTTTCAAGGCAGGAGATGTTCAGAGGTGGTTTGTCACTGCCTGCCTCTGCGTAGCAACCCTGGGCTTCCTTGGTGGTCTCCCATCCAAGTACCAACCAGGGCCGACCCTGCTTAGCTTCCGAGATCTGACGAGATCAAGCTAGCCTGGGCCATTCACGTCAGGGCAAGAAACAAACCAGTGGTTTGCCCTTGCCTGCCTCTGCGTAGCAACCCAGGACTCCCTGGCTGGTCTCCCATCCAAGTAATAACGAGGGCCGACCCTGCATAGCTTTCAAGATCTGATGAGATCAGGCTAGCCTGGGAGGAGGAGGAGGAGGAGGATGTGGTTGGATTTGTACCCCGCCCTTCACTCAGAGTCTCAGAGCGGCTGACAATCTCCTTCCTCTCGCCACCACAGACACCCTGTGAGGTGGGTGGGGCGGAGAGAGCTCTCTCGAGGACTGCTCTTGAGAGAACAGCTCTGAATGAACTTGTCGCTGACCCAAGGTCACACCAGCTGGCTGCATGTGAAGGAGTGGGGAGTCCAACCCGGTCCTCCCAGATTAGAATCCGTGCTCCTAACCACAACACAAATCTGGGCTATCCATGTCAGGACTGGGCTAGGATTACCGAACTGAAATACAGTGCTGACATACAGGTCGGCGAAAAGAAGAACCCGGCGAAGGCATTCCTTACCTCCGGCGAAGATAGCGATCCAGAAAGGAAGAAAGCAGAGCAGTAAGATCAGCATTGCACCAGACTGCGGTCCTGTCCCTGACAAAAGGGACCGGAGGTGTTTCCCTTGGCAATGCCAATTCCTGGGTGCAAATGTCCTCCTGATCCTTTCTGCTTTGAACGTTCCGCAAAGTCATAGAAGTGCAGGAGCCTCCTTGACCCCCTGTAGGCGAGCAGCGCCACAAGGGGGGAACTGTTGTAAAAAGGTTGGTGCGGATGGGGAACTGGTGATCTTGTGCCTCTGTGGCATCTGAACCTTCAGAAGCCTTTGCTTCGATGAGAAGTGCTGTTGCAGTGGAACGTATCAGCAGGGGTCATTTCGTAGAAAAAGAGGTGTAGGAGCTCATTAACATAACTTATTAGCATAACTCATTTCCATATGTCACTATTGAGATATATGTCAGAGTGATAGAGGTAGCAAGCAGTTACTATAGATCAGTTTGATCTGTTTGTCAGACCTAGCTGTCATGCTAGTAATCATGTAATTACAGCCAGGTGTTTTCTAGCAGGTGTTGTTCTTTCAGGGCTTGTTAGAGCTAGTGATTGCGTCACCTTGTTAGAGATTGGCTGGGGTTTAGCATAATAGCTATCAGCTTAGTAAGCCAGATGGGCACTTAGTTCTCATAGACTAAGGCACGACATGCTGTTCAATAGCCTGTAAATATTTCTGTATATATTCACCTTTATAACTATATAAACTCTCTGTGCACCTTCATACCTGGTCAGTCTCCCGCTTCTTATTTACAACACCCAATAGCCACACCCCCTGACATCACCGGAAGTGTGTCAGAAGGCAACACCCACTGCTCAGGCTCCACTGGACTGTTTTGGAATGCTAGCTATTGGGGGGGGGAAAAAGGGTTTGTTGGGGATTCTTGGTTTGGGGGGGGGGGGGGACAAGCAGATCTGCCCTCGCAGGGGAGGGAGAGCTTGTACCTGAAGGCAGGCTGGGGGGAGGGGCTCTGCAATTTACCTGGCTGCTTCTTGCTCCTCGTGGCCCAACTGAGGGCTGCTGGGAGCATGGGGCGGGGCTTGTTGCATGTGCCCGCCCCCTGGGCTCCTTACTGCCGGAGCTCCGCTCCTGTGCGCTCCCGCAGGAAATGACCCCTGTGTATTAGGAGAGATGGTCCCGCAGACATGTGCGTCTAAGGCCCTGAAAGGCTTTGTGGATGATAACCAGAACATGAGGAATTGACCCCAGGACATAAGAACATCAGAAGAGCTCTGCTGGATCAGACCAGTGAGGGTCCATCCAGTCCAGCATCCCCTCTCACACAGGGGCCAGCCAGTTGGCTTGGATTCACCAGAAATTTCCACTGCTAGAAGGGATTTCAGTAAGTGGAGTGGGCGGGGCTTCGCTCTGCCCCGGACTCCATCCCCACTCTGAGGGCAGTGTGGTGTAGCAGTTAGAGTGTTGGGCTGGGACCTGGGAGACCCAGGTTCGAATCCCCACTCTGCTGTAGAGTTGAAGCGGTTTTTGCTTCTTTTTGAGGAAGGTGTGTGTGTGTGGGGGGTATAAATAAAGAAAAGATCAGACAGGAATCAAATAAACCTCAGCCCAGTTTTCAGACACCGTCTCTTTGTTTTTGTCTCCTCCTCCAGGGGCCAGGTACTGATTCGAGAGCTCCCGACAGACGCCTTGTTCAGCGTGGACGCCGTCGTGGCAAACGTCCTCTTGTGAGTCGGCGTGCCATCTCCTCCTGGGTTGCAGGGCTGCTGAGGGCAAGGGTGTCGGCCTGGAATCAGAGAACCACAGAGTGGGAAAGGGGCCTATAGAGGCCATCTAGTCCAACCCCAGGTCAATGCAAGATCAGCCTAGAGCATCCCTGATAAGGGTTTGTCCAGCCGCTGCTTGAAGACTGCCAGTGAGGGAGAGCTCACCACCTTCCTAGGTGCTGCACAACTCTGACTGTCAAAAAGTTCTTCCTAAGGTCCAGCTGGTACCTTCCTGCCCTTAATTTAAACCCATTCTTGCGAGTCCTCTCCTCTGGTGCCCAGAGGAACACCCCCTGGCTGTTGTCCAACAGCCCTTCAGATCCTTCGAGAGAGCCATCCTGTCCCCCTTCAACCTCCTCTTCTCCAGACTGAACCTTCCCAAGGAGTCCCTCAGCCTTCCCTCGCGGGGCTTCTTGGTCTCCACTGGCCCCCAATCATCCTCACCGCTCTCCTCTGCACCCGCTCCATTCTGCCTAGAGATGTAAAATTTCTGGAATTTTTGAAGCTTGGGGAAAAACCTGGAAATTTTCAGAAAAATTGGGAAAAAATGCCACATTAGCACTTCTTTTTTCTTTTCCACATCGAAAGTCATTGTGTTACTTTAGGAACATAAAATATGACTATGGACATTTTTACATGGTATGATGAAATTATCACAGCTAGCATATTAAAAATATAGTGCATCCAAAGAATTATTACAAACAGAATACCCACCCACATGCAAAAACAAAACTGAAACCTTTTCCTTTTCTTGTGACAATTGTTGTTGTTGTTCAGTCACACAGTCGAGTCTGACTCTTTGCGACCCCATGGACCAGATCACACCAGGCCTTCCGGTCTTCCGCTGTCCTCTGAAGTTTGCTCAACTGCATGTTCGTTGCATCTATGACACTGTCTAACCATCTCATCCTTTGCCATCCCCGTCTTCTTTGACCTTCAATCTTTCCCAGCATCAGGGTCTTCTCCAGTGAGTGCTCCCTTCTCATTTGGTGACGATAGCACCTCTTAAAGGAAGAAATGCATCTTGTTCTTGCATTGGAGAGTTCCGCTAGTAACCTAGGACTAACTTGCCCTCAGTGCACAGAAATTAGATCAATCTGATACCATACCTATTTTTTAGAAATGATTTGGAAAATATTTGAACACCTCGTCTTCAAATATTTTATTCATCATGTTAAAAAAAAATCTATGACACTGTCTAACCATCTCATCCTTTGCCGTCCCCGTCTTCTTTGACCTTCAGTCTTTCCCAGCATCAGGGTCTTCTCCAGTGAGTGCTCCCTTCTCATTTGGTGACAATCGCACCTCCTAAAGAAAGAAATGCATCTTGTTCTTGCATTGGAGAGTTCCGCTAGTAACCTAGGACTCACTTGTCCTCAGTGCACAGAAATTAGATCAATCTGATACCATACCTATTTTTTAGAAATGATTTGGAAAATATTTGAACACCTCGTCTTCAAATATTTTATTCATCGTGTTAAAATAAAACGTTCCATAATCAATTTTTTTTCCTTTTCTTTTTTCAATTTTTCCAATTTTTTGGAAAAAAACAACAAAAAGGCTTCAGGAAAAAAATGGGAAAAACCCAGGTTTTTTCACCCAATTTTCCCCCGGTTATTTTCTGGGCCTTCACATCTCTAATTCTGCCCTCATCCTTTTTGAAGTGAGGTCTCCAGAACTGCACACGATACTTCAGGTGCGGCCTGATCAACGCGGTGTACAGCCGGGACTAGGACAGTAGATCAGCTAGATTAAAGTCCGGCAACACCTTACAGCAGTTCCCAACCGTTTTGGTATGGTGGACCTACAGGTCGAAATTTACTTGGTATGGTGGCCCAAGGTTTTTGGGTGCCCCCGGCAGACGATGACTTCGACACCCATCTTGTTCGGCATTCCATTTTCTGCAGTGGCCAACCGGATGATTTTGAGACACCAACTAACAGCCCACAGCCGCCCTCACTACAAACCCTAAGCAAGTGGCATTCCGACATGCACAGCCTTCGCGTCTGGAGGTCAGACTCCAGCCTTTGGCCACACTCTCCTTCTCCACTTCTAGTAAGCATCGAGACACATTTTACTTGACCAACATGTGTAGGCAGTGGAGAAACAATACCGACTGATGTATGTCGTGGAAGAGACTGTTTCCCGGGTCAGAGCTGGGTTTTCCAAAATACAAAAGAGCAACAGTCCAGGAGCACCTGAAAGACTAACCGGGTTTGTGGCAGGGGAGGAGCTTTCCTGAGTCACGGCTCACTTCCTCAGAGTCCAGGAGCACCTTAAAGACTTGACAAAATCTGGCAGGGGAAGAGCTTTCGTGAGTCACCGCTCACTCCTTCAGATACTTGAATTGGGCAATGTCGTTAGACTTTGGTTAGACTTCTAATGTTCTAATGAAGGCCTCGGCCTCTCTGCCCTGTTCTTGGCCCTCCAGAGGAACTGGTTGGCCACTGTGTGAGACAGGATGCTGGACTAGAGGGACCCCTGGTCTGATCCAGCAGGGCTCTTCTGATGTTCTTATGAAGGTCTCGGCCTCTCTGCTCTGCTGTTGGCCCTCCAGAGGAACTCTGAGATCACTGTGTGAGACAGGATGCTGGACTAGATGGACCCTGACTGGTCTGATCCAGCAGGGCTCTTCTGATGTTCTTAGGAAGGCCTCGGCCTCTACGCCCTGTGGTTGGCCCTCCAGAGGAACTGGCTGGCCACTGTGTGAGACAGGATGCTGGACTAGGTGGCCCCTCACTGGTCTGACCCAGCAGGGCTCTTCTGATGTTCTTATGAAGGTCTCGGCCTCTCTGCTCTGCTGTTGGCCCTCCAGAGGAACTCTGAGATCACTGTGTGAGACAGGATGCTGGACTAGATGGACCCCTGGTTTGATCCAGCAGGGCTCTTCCAATGCTCTTATGAAGTCCTTGACCTCTCTGCCCTGTTGTTGGCCCTCCGGAGGAACTGGTTGGCCACTGTGTGATACAGGATGCTGGACTAGATGGACCCCTGGTCTGACCCAGCAGGGCTATTCCAATGTTCCACCTCACCTGCCTCACAGGGTTGCTGTGAGGATAAAATGGGGAGGGAGAGCACCTTGTCCTCTCTGAGCTCTTAGAAGGAAAGATGGTATAAGAATGTGCTGAGGCAGACACCCCGTCATGAGCATTCAGTGCTAAAGGTGTTTCAAGTATATTATTTATCACACTTTTATCCCCGTTCCTCCTCCTAAGGGCACCATACGTGGTTCTCTCCCTCCTTTTCGTCCTCACAACAACCCTCTGAGGTAGGTTCGGCTGACAGAGAGCCGTGAACTCAATGCCCAAGGAGGGATTTGAACCGATGCCTCCCTACTTCCAGCCTGACAAGGCAGCCTCTATTTTGGCTCATTTTCAGGTGGGCAGGGACTGTGAGCGGGTAGAGATGCGTCCCATCCTCCGAAGCACAAATGGGCCTTCTCCCGCAAAAGGAGACACCACTGCATTTTGGTGGGAGCATCATCCGCCTTAGATAAGCATATGGAGCAGAGGTCCATCAGTGGCTCTTAGCCACAAGGTATAGATAGGGGCTCTGGGGCAAGTGATGCTCTGTCTTCTTGGTACTTTGGGGGGGGGTCGACAGTGGGAGGGCTTCTAATGTCCTGGCCCCACTGGTGGACCTCCTGATGGCACTGGTATTTCTGGCCACTGTGTGACCCAGAGTGTTGGACTGGATGGGCCTTTGGCCTGATCCAACACTGGCGTCTCTTATGTTCTTATTTAGCCACAAGGTATAGATAGGGGCTCTGGGGCAAATGATACTCTGTCTTCTTGGTGCTTGGGGGTTTAACAGTGGGAGGGCTTCTAGTGTCCTGGCCCCACTGGTGGACCTCCTGATGGCTCCTGGTATTTCTGGCCACTGTGTGACACAGAGTGTTGGACTGGATGGGCCTTTGGCCTGATCCAACACTGGCGTCTCTTATGTTCTTATTTAGCCACAAGGTATAGATAGGGGCTCTGGGGCAAATGATACTCTGTCTTCTTGGTGCTTGGGGGTTTAACAGTAGGAGGGCTCCTAGTGTCCTGGCCCCACTGGTGGACCTCCTGATGGCTTCTGGTATTTCTGGCCACTGTGTGACACAGAGTGTTGGACTGGATGGGCCATTGGCCTGATCCAACATTGGCGTCTCCTATGTTCTTATGAATTGGATAAGCATATGGAGCAGAGGTCCATCAGTGGCTACTGGCCACAAGTGATAGATAGGGGCTCTGGGGCAAGGGATGCTCTGTCTTCTTTGGTGGTAGGGGGGGTCAACAGTGGGAGGGCTCCTAGTGTCCTGGCCCCACTGCTGGACCTCCTGATGGCGCCTGGTATTTCTGGCCACTATGTGACACAGAGTGTTGGATCCAACATTGGCTTCTCTTATGTTCTTAAGAGCAGAGGTCCATCAGTGGCTATGAGCCACAAGGTATAGATAGGAACTCTCAGTCTGGGGCAAGGGATGCTCTGTCTTCTTGGTGCTTGGAGTGGGGGGGTCAACAGTGGGAGGGGGCTCCTAGTGTCCTGGCCCCACTGCTGGACCTCCTGATGGCACCTGGTATTTCTGGCCACTGTGTGACACAGAGTGTTGGACTGGATGGGCCGTTGGCCTGATCCAACATTGGCGTCTCTTATGTTCTTATGTTCTCCCCCTTGTCTCCTTCACAGTGCCCTCCTCTTCAACGAAGTGAAATACGTCTCCACGCTGGAGGACCTCCAGAACCTGGAAAACGCTCTTCAGGGTCAGTCGGACCTCGTGTTCGCTTACGTCCGGGCTGTTGGGACCGCAGGTAAAGACCATCCGGCTGCTTAGCTAGACAGCGGAGGGGGGCAGAGCCGGTCTTTTGTCTCTGGAATGATCAGATGCGGCCTCCTTAGAGCTTTCCTCGGGGCGTAGAACGGTCTCATTTCACTTGTGGTAGGACCCAGGGGCCTCGGCTTTTCACTTTGGGATTTGCCAGGGGGCAAAGAGTTTGGGAGAAAAGTTGCTTCGCTGTGGTCCTAGTAGGGGGCTGCGTTGTGGTTTTTGGGATACGCGATTGTAAGGGTAAAACCGTAAGATGGCATCCAGACAGCGAAAGCGATAACATTGTTATCAGTGATGACATAAGTAACGCAAGCGTATGTTAGGTCATTCTTGAGCATCTAGACTCTTCTTCTTCGCTTGATCAGGTTTTTAAGGTAAGAATTGGGTTGCGGGTGGAGAGGAGAGAAAGTCGGGGCTTTCAGAATCAGGTCCTGAATGACTCTCTGTCTCCTCTCTGTCTGTCTGTCTCTGTCTCGCTCTTTCTCTCTGTCCCTGTCCGTCCGTCTCTTCCTCTTTCGGTCTCTGTTTTTGAGGAATTTCAGACAGACGATATAATCCGGAAGAGGAACGGTTCCCAAACGGTTTCTGGTCTGTCATTTCAGACAGAACCGTTTTAGAACCGGTTCCCTTCCGGAATATATTTGTAATTTCAGACACAAACGCCTCTGTCCCGTTTAGGAAACGGGGCTGAAGCGTTTTACCTGTCAACCGCTTCCAAGTAGTCTTCAGTTTCCTCTCCCAGTTCTGATGCGTTTTTTCCCGCCGTTTTTCGCCCGTGCGGGCGATCTCTGGCTTTTTTTTGAACGTTCACTTTATAGCGCTATAACGCTATAGCGCAACAGCGTTATATCAATCTGACTGGAATGCCTGGAGTGTTTTGTTATAGTGCTATAGCGCTATAGCGCTCTAAAGCGAATGTTCCAAAAAAGAAGAAGCTGGAGATAGCCCACACTGGCGAAAAACGGCAGGGGAAAAGCGGTGCAATCTGAAATGGCAAACCACTTCAGATCCAGCTCTTTACTGGAAGGGGAAAGCCATGTGTGAAATGGCAGCCCTATACTGGTTTACTCCATGACGGATCAAAAACGGCTTCAAAACGGGTTAAAAAGGGTAATGTGAAATTCCTCTTTGTCTGTCTCTTACTTTTTCTCTTTCTCTCTGACTGTCTCTTTCTCTTTGTTTCTCTGTCTCTCTGTTTTTCGCTCCTTCTGTGTCTTCCTCTGTCTTTTGCTGTCGCTCCGTCTGTCTCTGTCTCACTCTCTGTGTGTCTCTGTCTCTCTCACTCTTTTTCCCTGCCTCTCTCCCTCTTTCTGCCTGTATCTTCCTCTGTCTTTGTCTCTCACTGTTTCTCTCTTTGTCTGTCTGTCTTTTCCTCTCTGTCTGTCTCTGTCTCCCACTCCTCTCGGTCTCTCTTTCTCCATCTGTCTTTCTCTCTCTGTCTCTCTGCCCCTCTTATTTCGTGTAGTAGTTAAGTTTGTAGTGGCACTACATCATTTTGGCGTAGTGGTTAAGTGCGCGGATTCTAATCTGGGGGAACCGTGTTTGATTCCCCACTCCTCCACTTGCACCTGGCTGGATGACCCTGGGCAAGCCGTAGTTCTTATAGTCTTTTCTTTCGATGGAATGTCTGTAAATTTTAAGTTTTGGGGTCTTCTATCCATTTGTAAAATCTTGACCATGCGTTTTCGTAATCTTCTTTATGGCGCCCTCTCAAAATTGAAGGGTCCATCTCTGCTATTTCCAGTATTTTATTTATAACTACTACTACTACTAGGAGCTGCGGTGGCTCAAGTGGTTAAGACGCTGAACTGCAGGCTGTGGAAGGTCGGTAGTTCCGCAGTTCGAGACCCGAGTGTGCCGCATGACGGAGTGAGCTCCCGTCTCTGGCCCCAGCTCCTGCCAACCTAGCAGTTCGAAAGCAAGAAATTGCAAGTAGATAAATAGGGACCACTTCGGTGGGAAGGGAACAGCGTTCCGTGCGCCTTGGTGTTTAGTCATGCCGGCCACATGACCACGGAAACGTCTTCGGACAGCGCTGGCTCTTCGGCTTGGGAACGGAGATGAGCACCGCAACCCTAGAGTCGGACTCGGCTGGCTTTCGAGCAAGGGAACCTTTACCTTTACTACTTCTCCTCCTCCTCCTCCTTCTTCTCTCCCTCTCTCTTTGCAGAGCACCGAGTGCTGATGGAGGCCGCCTTTGTCTATGGCTCTCTGCACAGGTTCGCCTTGACCACCGAAGTGACGCTTCTGAAGAGCATCTAGTAGGTGTTCCCCAGCCGTGGGGGTTCTGGCCTTGCTATGAACCAGAGCTTCTCTGGGGCCCTGCTGCACCCAGCCAGTCACCTTCTCTCAGCCTCTCTCGCCAGTGACACATCCTTACACTTCAGGATCTTTGCTAGCTCCTTCACGGCTTCCCTTCCCAGCAATGTTCCCTCTAAGCTGTGGGATCTTGTGAGCAAAAATTCTGCTTTGTGAGCTACTGGCATTGAAGTTGAGTGAGCGATTTGGCTACTGCATAAATCAGTTAGCTCTGGAGCCCTCCTTCCTTAACTAAGACAAAAATGTGTGAGCTGGAGGCTAAAAATCTGTGAGCTAGCTCGCACGAACTCAGCTTAGAGGGGACACCGCTTCCCAGTCCCCGTCGCCTTTTGATTTCTTGGTCGCAGTCTCCCTTTCGGTTGATGTCGGAGCCGAGGAATAGATAAATGTGGTTTTCTGGGTTCTGATAGAGGAGGGAACCGTTTTGGGGTGCAGGCGGGAGAAGCACCAGGCCCTCGCTGCTCCTGCGGCTGGCGTCTTAAGCCGGGCTGGGAAGGAGACGCCGTTGGGCTGACCAAGCTTCCATTCCTAGACCCCTTCAGCTGCCAAATTTAGGGAGTGGGGCTTTGTTAGAAGGAGTTTCCCCGGGGGAGCGGCGCAGCACACGCAAGTCTGAGTTGGATGCTCTATGCGGAGCCTGGCCCACGTTTAACCCACGAAGCTGCCTTATAGTGATTCAAACGCTTGGTCCATCAAGGCCGGTATTGTCTACTCAGACTGGCAGCGGCTCTCCAGGGTCTCAGGCTGAGGTCTTTCACATCACCTCCTGCCTGGTCCTTTTTGACTGGAGATGCCGGGGATTGAACCTGGGACCTTCGGCATGCCAGGCAGAGGCTCTGCCGCTGAGACACAGCCCCTCTTTACAGCTCTCCAGGGTCTCAGGCGGAGGTCTTTCCCATCACCTCCTACATAGTCTTTTTTAACTGGAGATGTTGGGGATTGAACCTGGGACCTTCTGCATGCCAAGCAGAGGCTGTACCACTGAGCCATGGACCCTCCCCAAAGACACATGAAGCTGCCTTCTACTGAATCAGACCATTTGTCCATCAAGGTCAGTCTTGTCTACTCAGACTGGCAGCGGCTCTCCAGGGTCTCGGGCGGAGGTCTTTCCCATCACCTGCTGCCTGGTCCTTTTTTACTGGAGATGCCGGGGGATTGAACCTGGGACCTCCTGCGTGCCAAATAGATGCTCTGCCACTGAGCTGCAGCCCGTCCCATTCATGTGCACGAGTAGAAGAAGGTTTCTCTGCCGCCGTTAGAGCTTTCCAACACACATGAATATGGGAGTCGGCCAGCTTGAATTCTGGACCCAAGGCTTGCTTTTCTTTTTTCCCAGCAGTGATGAAGAGTCGAACGTTCCGGCCTCGAAGCTCTTTTTCTTCCATTGCCAGATGGCCGCCGATCTGGGCCAGCCGTGCCGCAGGACTCCGATGGAGCAGCCGCTGACCACGCTGAACGTCCACAAGTTCCTGAAGCTGATGGGGGAGCCCCTTGTGGTACGGCTGGGGGCAGCGACGACCGTCCCCTCCCCACCCCCACCCCGGTTCCTTACTCCCCCAGTTATGTTTTCTTTGTGGCGTATCTGAGCAAGAGTTTGTCAGACTGGGTTGCCTGGATTATGCTGGGCAGGGGTGGGGAAACGGGTTTGGGTTTAGGGTTAGGCCTACCCAGGGCTTTTTTTTGTAGATAAAGCCCAGCAGGAACTCGTTAGCATCATAGGCCACACCCAACAACAGAAACTCATTAGCATATTAGGCCACACCCCTGACAGCACAGCTTATTGGCACATTAGGCCACACCCCCATGTTACCAGAAGTGTGGTCATCCAGCCACACCCACCCTTTGCTTCTTATTCTGTTTACCTTGTTTGTTGTAAAAACCCAGGGCCTTTTTTGTAGCAGGAACTCCTTTGCATGTTAGGCCACACACCCCTAATGTAGCCAATCCGAATGACTTTCTGCTGTTGGGTGTGGCCTATTATGCTAATGAGTTCCTGCTGGGCGTGGCCAACTTGGGAGCCAGCCGGAACTCCGTTCCTGTGCGTTCCTGCCCAAAAATAGCCCTGGGCCTACCCGAAACAGGCTCGATCACCTGACAGCGACCCGAGTCTGGTTTGGTTCAGCGTTTTGGACAGGGAACAAACCCTGTATTAGTTAAGAGAGGCTTTCAGAGAAATCCAGATGGCCACAGGTGCTCCATCTCTTCTCTCAGTTTGTTGTCGTGGTTAGGAGCATGGACTCTAATCTCGGAGAACTGGGGCTGAGTCCCCACGCCTCCACATGCAGCTGCTGGTGTGACCTTGGGTCAGTCACAAGTTTTGTCAGAGCTGTTCTCTCCAGGGCAGTCCTCAAGAGAGCTCTCTCAGCCCCACCTCCCTCGCAGGGTGTCTGTTGCGGGGAAGGGGAAGGAGATTGTAAGCCACTCTGAGACGCCACGTGGAGGGCGGGGTATAAATCCAACTCTTCTTCTTGTCTGCCACTGAGTGGACTCTAATCTGGGAGAACCGGGTTTGATTCCCCACTCCTCCACTTGCACCTGCTGGATGATCTTGGGCAAGCCGTAGTTCTGATAAGAGCTGTCCTTGAAAAATAGCAGTTTCTGTCAGAGCTCCCTCGGCACCACCTACCTCACAGGGTGTCTGTTGTGGGGAGGTGGAGGGAAAGGAGTTTGTAAGCCACTCTGAGACTCCTTTGGGTAGTGAAGGGCGGGGTATAAATCCAATCTCCTCCTCCTCTTGAAAAAGAGCCGTTTCTGTCAAGAGCTCTCTCGGCCCCACCTACCTCACAGGGTGTCTGTTGTGGGGAGGGGAAGGGGAAGGAGTTTGTAAGCTGCTCTGAGACTCCTTTGGGTAGTGAAGGGCTGGGTATAAATCCAATCTCCTCTCTTCTTCTTCTTCTTCTTCTTTTCTCCTCCTCCTCCTCCTCCTCCTCTTCTCCAGATGGAGGTCATGGCAGATCCGGAGAAGGTTTCGACTGCTCACCTCCAGCTCGGCCTGCCACTGATCTTCATTCTCACCCAGAAAGAAACGCTGGAGGCAGACAGGAGGACGGCTGAGTTTGTGGCCTGGAGGTTGCTGGGGAAGGCGGGGGTCATCCTTCTGTCAAGGTGAGAGGAGTGGCTACAGGTGGGGAGGGAGAGTGGGGGGGGGACACAATCGAGTGCTTCGGTCATGACGTCAGATTAGGACTGGAGAGGCCTGGGTTCAGATCCCCACTTAGCTGGAAGACCTTGAGCCCGTTTGTTTGTATTAGTTTATATAAAGAAACTGGGGAATGGGAGAGGAAGGAAGAAAAGAAAAATACAAAAATATTCAGAGTTCCAATTTAGCATCTGCATTCATATCTTCTCGTTACAATTTCACAACTACTTCATCTATCATTGTTATTAATCTTATTTTCTCAATACTTAAATTTTAACCAGTCATAAAACACCCTCCAGGGTCTCATAAATTCTTCCTCTGTTTTTCCTTTTAATAATAATTCATAAAAATATAATATTTATCTTACTTCATTTATGCCCCACTTTTCTCCTCAGTGGGGGGAAAGCCAAAACGACTTATGTGCTTATACTCTCCTCTGTTTTACCCTCACAACAACCCTGCAAGGTAGGTTCCCCTGAGAGTACATGACTGGCCTAAGGTCACCCAGCAAGCTTCCATGGCACAAACAGGAATTCGAACCTGGGTCTCCCAGGTCCTAGTCCAACACTAACCACTACACCTTGCTTGCTCTGAATGTATATGATGGAATTGTTGTACCATTTTTCTGAAGTTTTTAATGCCCCCCCCCCCCCCCCAACACCCACCACTACGTCTGCTTGGAAACCCACTGTCCGCCAGCAACTTCAGTTGGTTACATTTGGTGAGGGAATAGTGTTTTTCTATGGAATAGTTTAAAAACAAAATATCCAACAGCCCCGTTCCAGAGGAAGAAGAAGAAGAAGCCGTTTCTTCCCCTCCCTTTTCTATGGGAGAAAATAGTAAAGGTAAAGGTTTCCCTTGCTCGAAAGCCAGTCAAATCCGACTCTAGGGTTGCGGTGCTCATCTCCGTTTCCAAGCCGAAGAGCCAGCACTGTCCAGAGACATTTCCATGGTCCTGTGGCCGGCATGACTAGACACCGAGGTGCGCGGAACGCTGTTCCCTTTCCACCGAAGCGGTACCTATTTATCTACTTGCAGTTTCTTGCTTTTGAAATGCCAGGTTGGCAGGAGCTGGTATCAGAGACGGGAGCTCACTCCGTCACGCGGCACCCGGGTCTCGAAGTGCCGAACTACCGACCTTCCAGCCTGCAGTTCAGTGTCTTAACCACTTGAGCCACCGCAGCCCCAAGAAGGGAAGAAATACCCCGTAGTAAAAAAACTCCATTGTGCAAGCAATTGAATGGTTTTTTGCTTCATAATTTAGCCCGCTTCCAATTAATTATGGGGAACGGACAAACAGGCAGGGGGGGATGTTGCTTAGTCCCCCCGTACCATCGGCCACGTAACTCAGTGTCTCTCTTTTGCCTTTACACCAGAAGAGATTTGCTTCAAAAGCGAACACGAGATGCTGGATCCTTCATCCAGGACTACTTTCTGTGCTTGAGAGTTGCTCCAGCAGAAAACACATTTTTTAGGGCCAGCTACACAACTTGCCCAGCACAGGTAGGGTCATGGGCGCACAAGAAGAAGAAGAAGAGGAGATTGGATTTATACCCCACCCTTCACTACCCAAGGGAGTCTCAGAGCGGCTTACAAACTCCTCTCCCTTCCCCTCCCCACAACAGACGCCCTGTGAGGGAGGTGGGGCTGAGAGAGCTCTGATAGAAACTGCTCTTTTTCAAGAAGAAGGATTGGATTTATACCCCTCCCTTCGCTCAGAGTCTTAGAGCAGCTTACAGACTTCCCCCCCCCCACAACAGACACCCTGTGAGGTAGGTGGGGCGGAGAGAGCTCAGACAGAAACGGCTCTTTTTCAAGAACAGCTCTGACAGAACTATGGCTTGCCCAAGGTCACCCAGCAGCTGCAAGTGGAGGAGTGGGGAATCACACCCGGTTCTCCCAGATAAGAGTCCGCGCACTTAACCACTACACCAGACTGGCACAACCGGATTCACAGTCACGCATACATTGGGGGGGAGGTCGCCTTAACAAGCGCTCATCCGCTGGTGATATCTGGCCAAGAGATAAACCTGAAGATCCTTCTCTCTCACAGTGCCGAGTGAAGGAGCACTTTCTAAAGCGGGTTCCCCCGATGTATGTCTGACCGTGAGTCCAGTCGCGCACCCGTGACCTGACAGGCGTCGGGCACACTGTGTGGCTTGGCCCTTAAATGTCGGGTCCTGTGAAATTCAGGCTCAGCTGAAGGATGGTTGTCTTGTGGCAGGTGCCACCAGGTGGCGATGTAGTACCATTTTCCAGGCGGTGAAGCGCCCTTCGTCACAGCTGACTTCAGGGGCTTTCGAGGCAAGAGAGGTTCAGAGGTGGTTTGGCAGTGCCTGTCTTTGCATAGCACACATTAAAGAGTACTAGCCCCTCTGGGCAGAGAAACCAATGAATTAAATAAAGTGAAAAGGCCTCGCAGTGGCTGGCTACCGCCTTCTATAGCCAATCCTCTCCATTTAAAAAATCTGAACAGCTCTTTTAAAAAAATCTACATACCTGCTGTTTTATGGCTACTGCTGTTAAATTCTGGCTGTGCTGTTTGTGACCCTTTGTGGGGGGTACTGTCCAAAATGTTATGTCCTTTTCATTTCCTTATTGTTCTTTATGGTTTTATGTCTTATGCTTTTATGGTTCGTTCTTACTTGGTTAACTGCCTCAAGTAAGTCTCTGCAGGGGCGGCCTATAAATCTCCTAATTTAGTAAAGAAGATAAGAAGAGCCCTGCGGGATTGAGCCAGTGGTCCATCCAGTCCAGCATCCTGTCTCACACGGTGGCCAATCAGTTCCTTTGGAGGGCCGACAACAGGGCATAGAGGCCGAGGCCTTCATGAGAACATCAGAAGAGCCGAGCTGGGTCAGACCAGTGAGGGTCCATCTAGTCTAGCATCCCATCTCACACAGTGGCCAGCCAGATCCTCTGGAGGGCCAGCAACAGGGCAGAGAGGCTGAGGCCTTCATGAGAACATCAGAAGAGCCGAGCTGGGTCAGACCAGTGAGGGTCCATCTAGTCTAGCATCCCATCTCACACAGTGGCCAGCCAGATCCTCTGGAGGGCCAGCAACAGGGCAGAGAGGCTGAGGCCTTCATGAGAACATCAGAAGAGCCGAGCTGGGTCAGACCAGTGAGGGTCCATCTAGTCTAGCATCCCATCTCACACAGTGGCCAGCCAGATCCTCTGGAGGGCCAGCAACAGGGCAGAGAGGCTGAGGCCTTCATGAGAACATCAGAAGAGCCGAGCTGGGTCAGACCAGTGAGGGTCCATCTAGTCTAGCATCCCATCTCACACAGTGGCCAGCCAGATCCTCTGGAGGGCCAGCAACAGGGCAGAGAGGCTGAGGCCTTCATGAGAACATCAGAAGAGCCGAGCTGGGTCAGACCAGTGAGGGTCCATCTAGTCTAGCATCCCATCTCACACAGTGGCCAGCCAGTTCCTCTGGAGGGCCAACAACAGGACATAGAGGCCAAAGCCTTCCCCTGTTGTTGCCTTGTGGTTCAGTCACCATGGCTAGTAGCCACTGATAAACTTATCCTCTATGAATCTGTTGAATCCCCTTTTAAAGCTGTCTATACCTATGGCCATCACTGCATCCTCTGGCAGCAAATTCCACATTATTATTACACTCTGTGTAAAGTAGTATTAAGTAGTTGCATTAAGTAGTAGGAAACAGCTTTTCTTCTAGCCCGCCTTTTTTCTGGTGAAACAAATCAATTTTTTTGAAAATAAGAGTGTTGCACTTGCACTGTATGGGGCCCCCCTCTTGAAGCAGTACAGCATAGACACAGGTTTACCTATAAGCCCAAGATAAGGGGCAGCTGTGCGAATCCTGCACTTTGCAGTCTAACTTCTGATTTTTGTCTTGAAAGGGGTGCCGTAGGCCTGGAATTCCTTCTGCGGTATAACGTGGCCATCAAGACAGCAGCCGAGGTTAGTGAGTGTCCCACTGTAAGACTGTTGCACCTTTGGCTTTAACGATTCTGACGTCCCAGGCTTGTCGGTATGCCTTTGCCCTCAGTAACCTTGTTGCCGTTGCGCTACCTCTGACAAGAGGAAAACTGGGGGCTTCTCACAAGGCAATCCGATTCAGTTAACTCAGTGATTTGAAACATTTATGACTCACCTTTCTTGCTGGCGTAACTCAAGGCAGCTCACAGTAAAGTAAAATGGTTATTTAAAAAAACACAGTAAAAACCATATAAGTAAAACAATTATAGGTAAAGGTAAAGGTTCCCTTGCTCGGAAGCCAGTCGAGTCGGACTCTAGGGTTGCGGTGCTCATCTCTGTTTCCAAGCCGAAGAGCCAGCGCTGTCCCAAGACGTTTCCGTGGTCATGTGGCCGGCACGACTAAACACCAAGGCGCACGGAACGCTGTTCCCTTCCCACCGATGTGGTACCTATTTATCTACTTGCAATTTCTTGCTTTCGAACTGCTAGGTTGGCAGGAGCTGGAACTAGAGACGGGAGCTCACTCCGTCACACGGCACACTCGGGTCTCGAACTGCTGAACTACCGACCTTCCACAGCCTGCAGTTCAGCGTTTTAACCACTTGAGCCACCACAGCATAAAACACATAAAAACACATAAAAAGTCACAACGAAGAAACTCTAGTTAGGGCTGCCAATAAGTAAAAACTTAGTTGTTGCAGATTTCCCGGGTTGTCTGGCCGTGGTCTTGGTATTGTAGGACCTGATGTCTTGCCAGCAGCTGTGACTGGCATCCTCAGAGGTAGAACACAGAAAGATGGAGCACCCTCACAGCTGCTGGCGAAACGTCAGGTCCAACAATGCCAAGACCACGGCCACACAGCCCGGAAAATCTACAACAACTAATGAACTCTGGCCGTGAACGCCTTCAACAAAAAAACCCACCTTAAATCGGTGAAATGTAGCCCTAAATAAAACCGTCTTCAGCTGCCTCCTGACGACCGAAAGGGAGGGGGATCAGGCGCACCGCCTTGGGGAGCTTGTTCCATAATCGTGGGGCTGCCCCCGAGAAGGCCCTGTCTCACATGTCCACCAGGCTAGCTTCTTTGATGGATGATTGTCAGAAGGGCCTCTTCCTGTACCTTAATTAATAGGGAGCGGTGGTGTAGGCAGTAAAAGCCTGCAAGTAATTCCATCAGCGAACAGCCGTAGGCTGTTTGAGACCCACCGCGGCCGGGGTGAGCTCCCGGCCCTTGTCTCAGCTCCCGCCCACCCAGCGGTTCGAAAGCTCTGCAAGTAGATAAATGGGTACCTGCTCTAGGAGCAGGGGGCAGCCTCCCCCCTTCGGGGCGGCGTGCAGCAGGAGAGACGGCGGAAACAGCAGTGTGGCGTGGCAGAGACCCGGGGACTCGTCAAGAAAGCATGGCGACCATCCGATGCAGAGCGGCAACGGAATCCGGACGAGGATTGGACCGGAGGCGTGGTGATGCGGTGTGCGGCGCGGTGGAGCCAATTGGACGTAGATCGTAGCTGCAGCCGTCGCACAGCTGCGCGCCGGGAAAAGGTCTCGCCAGAAGGAGTCGCTGTGAATAAGAGCTGTGCCGAAAAAAACGCTGTGCCAGGAAGGAGCCGGGAGAAGAGAGAGAGAGCCCTGCTGCCTGGGTGGTGGTATGCTGTCACCTTCCCCTGTATAATTGTGGCCCTAGATAGGTATAACTAATTACATGTAAACGACAGCGAAATGCAAAAGATACTGAAATGTTCCTTCAAGAAGGCACCTGAAATTCTGCTCTTAGGACTCAAAATGGAAGAAGTAAAACGTAAAGAAAAAAACTATGTTCTGGTATTTGATAACAACTGCAAGAATGGTTTATGCGCAATGTTGGAAACAAGAAAAAATACCAGAAATAGAAGACTGGATACAAAAGGTTCTGTTCATGGCAGAAATGGATAAAATAACTAGAAAGTTGAACAACAAGGAAGACCAAGAATTTTTTGAGGAATGGAGTGACTTTAAAACGTACTTAGAAAAAAACTGGGACGTGAAACAAAATTTACTGTGTTTAGAACAATGTTAAGCTAATTGATGTTATCTGGAGACTTATTGAACTTATGGGACAAAAGGGGGAAGCATTGCGGGAAGCCGTTTGGGGGAGGGTTAGGGAAAAGGGGATAATTGGATGATTAAAAATTATTTTAAAATGTTTGACAATACCCAAGAAAATAAAAGTTTTTAACCAAAAAAAACCCTAATTACATGTAAACCGCTCCGAGCCTAAGGGAAGGAGCGGTATAGAAGTCGAACAAATAAAGAAATAAATTCCCTGGCAGGAACAGATGAGAGAAAATGGACCAGAGATACCTGGTCCCTAGCCATGTAGGGCTTTAAAGATCAAAACCAACACCTTGAATTAGGCTCGGGAGCAGACCAGTAGCCAGTGTACGTACCCGGAACCGCCGATGAATACCGCCCTGAGCGCCTTGGAAGAGGGATGTGGTGAAAATCCCCCAGATGCCCGGACAACCTTTCCATTCCATGGTTCTGTCAAAGGGTTGAGGGTCCATTTAGCATCCTGAACCCCCACCCCACCAGTCTTGAAATCCACTTTGGAAGAAAATCAGCCAGGCGTCCTTTCTTTCTGCAGGGTGTGAAGTACTTGGTCTTGAAAGACACGGATGAGATCGTCGCACTGGTGGAAGGCGGTAAACAGAGCGGCCCCGTCCCAGAGTACGAGGAGGAGGAGGAAGAGGAAGAGGACGCTGGCGAAAGCTATGAGCAAGGTGACCTTCGTAACCCATTTCCCTCTGCTTTGGATTGTACGATTCTGACACGGCCTGGTGGGCACGCCAACAAAATGGCTGCCCCAAAATGGCTGCCGCCGGAGTCGGGGCCAGCCACAAAACGGTGGCCCCAGCTCAAGTTCAGCCGCGCAGTGGATATTACTGTGCTGTGGCCGGCAATGTTCCCTCTAAGCTGTGGAGTCTTGTGAGCAAAAATTCTATTTTGTGAGCTACTGGCATTGAAGCTGTGAGCCAGCAATTTAGCTACTGCATAAATTAGTTGGCTCTGGAGCCATCCCTTCCTGTGCTAAGCCTAAGACAAAAATGTGTGAGCCGGAGGCTAAAAAACTGTGAGCTAGCTCACACTAACTCAGCTTAGAGGGAACACTGATGGCTGGCAGCTGCTACCAAAGCAACATTTTACGAAAATCTGCACAGCCTATCAAATCTCCAGTAGTCAGTCAGGAGCCTTGCTGGGCAGAAGTCCTACCTCCCCTCCCCCCCGACTTCCACAGAACACTTGGACCGATTTCCCACAAGCCACTGCTCCGCCCTCGCTCTTCCCCTCCCCCCCGATTGTATGTGTCAATTTCCCACTGCTGGCTGCGCGGCCGCATTTTGACCCACAGCTTCGCCCGATTTCGCCCCGCGACTTCTGGATCCTCAAAAAACAGGATCCAGAAGATGCGGATGAAATCGGGTGAAGCTGCAGGTCAAACTGTGGCCGCGCAGCCAATAGTGGGAAATTGAAACATACAATCGGGGGAAAGGGGAAGAGCGAGGGCGAAGCAGCGGCTTGTGGGAAATCGGTCTCGGCGGGTGCGAGGAAAGGTCTTGGCGGGCGTCACGGTGCCCACAAGCTCCACGGTGAGGACTCCTGGCCTAAAGAACGGGGTTCCTTTCAGAAACAGGTGAAGGCATCTGGTGCCATCTCCTGTTGGTCGTTTCAGAGGGTAACCATGTTGGTCTACGGTAGAAAGGCTAGATTAAAGTCCAGGAGCAGTTTAGAGACAAAGAAGATTTTCGGGGTAAAAGCTTTCAAGGATCAGAGCTCCCTTCCTCAGATACAACTTAGAGCGGAGATCCCCAAGTCCTCATTCCTAAGCCATATCTACTGTTGGTGGTAGAAGAAGGTTGGATTTATACCCCGCCCTTCACTCGGAGTCTCAGAGCGGCACACAATTTCCTTTCCCTTCCCCGCAACTAGAGATGTAAAATTTCCAGAAATTTTGACGCTTGGAAAAACGGAAATTTCCGGAAAAATTGAAAAAATGCTAATTAGCATTTCTTTTGTCTTTTCTAGACTGAAAGTCATTCTGTTACTTTAGGGACATGAAATGATCACAACTAGCCTATTAAAAATATAGTGTACCCAAACAATTATTACAAGCAGAATACCCACCCACATGCAAAAACAAAACTGAAGCCTTTTTCTTTTCTTGTGACAATCGCACCGCTTAAAGAAAGAAATGCATCTTGTTCTTGCATTGGCGAGTTCAGTTTGTAACCTAGGACTTGCTTGTCCTCAGTGCACAGAAATTAGATCAATCTGATACCATACCTATTTTTTAGAAATGAATGATTTGGAAAATATTTGAACACCTTGTCTTAAAATATTTTATTCATCATGTTAAAATAAAACGTTCCATAATCATTTTTTTCCTTTTCTTTTTTCAATTTTTCCAATTTTTCGGGAAAAAACAAAAAGGCTTCAGGGAAAAAACGCAACGAAAAAAAACCCCCCCCCCCCCCCCCCCCGAATATTTCCGGTTATTTTCCGAGCCTTCACATTTCTACCCGCAACAGACACCCTGTGAGGTAGGTGAGGCTGAGAGAGCTCTGAGAGAACTGTCCTTGAGAGAACTGCTCTGACAGAACTTGTGACTGACCCAAGGTCACCCAGCTGGCTGCACGTGACGGAGTGGGGAACCGAACCCAGTTCTCGAAGATTAGAATCCAGCACTCTTAAGCACTGCACCAAACTGGCTCTCCCGACTCCTTTAGCAGAAAAAAAAAAGCGTTCCGCTCAGCTGGAACTCGTTGAGTGTTTGTTTCCCCTGCAGAGATTCAAGACGATCAGGTGGTGGAATCCATTGTCAGGGACAGGAAGCACGAACTCCCCCTGGGACACATCCAGACCCTGACCGAAGACTCCTTCATCCCCGCTCTGGCCGCCTCCGACTGCATGGTGCTTCTGTTCTACGCCAGCTGTAAGTGAATTATTGTTTTTTGTGAGTATTTTTGTGTGGTGCCTGGAAATCATGGTTGACCTCTGGCGACCCCTAGTGGGGCTTGGATGTTTCAGAGAGGTGGATTACTATTGCCTGCGTCTGCCTCCCAGCCCTGGTATCCCTTAGAGGTCTCCCATCCAAGTATTTGCCGGGGTCGGCCCTGCTTAGCTTCCGAGATCTGATGAGATTGAGTTTGCCCGGGCTATCAGATCCGGGCAGCTGTAAGTGAATCTATGATAAACATCTGTCTGCTCATAGGACTACTATGAGCTTTAAGACCAGGGCTTTAAGACCAAGTTTTATTCAGGTACAAGCTCTCCCTCCTCTGTGAGGGCAGAACTGCACGTGTGTCCCCCCCCCCCCCGCAATAGCTAGCAATCCAAAACAGTCCAGTGGAGCCTGAGCGGTGGGTGTTGCCTTCTGACACACTTCCGGTGATGTCAGGGGGTGTGGCATATGCAAATAAGTTGTGCTAATGCGCTCCTACACCTCTTTTTCTACGAAATGACCCCTGGTTGGCACAGAAATGTAACTTGCATCTCCAGAACAATGGCTGATTCTCTGTCTTCTCGGTGTAGGGGAAGCCGTCTCTCTGGTCGTGATGCAGTCTTACGTAGAAGTGGCCGCTCGTTTGGAAGGTATGGATGTGAATGAAGGGAGACCTAGTGTGGTGTAGCGCTTAGAGTTTCATATTAGGCCAGGTAACCCTGGGCTGGTCACGCTCTCTCTCTCTGCCCGACCTACCTCACAGGGCTGTCGTGAGGACAAAAGGGAGGAGTGGCGAAATATGTGTGCTACCCTGAACTCTGTGGAGAAAGGGCGGGATAAAAATGTGATGGATTTAATTCGCACACCACCTGTCATGCATTTGTGTTCAGTGGGATTAATTAATTAATTATCGAATGGCATTGTGTGTAGAATAGCCAGGAGATCTGAAAATTGTCTGGCAGCCACAAGTTCTAGCTCTCAGTGCCATGCTAGTGGCGAGCTAGACTTGTTTTTAGGGGCTGAGAGAGCTCTGAGAGAACTTGTGACTGGCCCAAGGTCACCCAGCTGGGTGCTTGTGGAGAAGTGGGGAATCAAACCCGGTTCTCTGGAGCAGAGCCTGCTGCTCTTTACCATTACACCAAACTACTTGTTGGACAGCGTAGGGGAGGTATAAAGAAATTATTTCTGGTTGCCAGCCGTCCTCAATTTCAAGCCCTGCACGCGCACGTGATAAATCTCTTTATGCATCTGAAACATTTATTAGCCTGCATCTCTTCCTTGAGGAACTCAATGCGGTTTACAACAGAAATAAAACAGTTATTTAAAAAACACGATAAAAAGAATATAAATAAATAAAACTGTTATTAAAAACACAATAAAAACCACATAAATGAAGCAGCAAGGATAAAAACACACAAAAGAGTCACAGTTTTAAAAACACAGTTTAAAACAGGGGTGTCGAACTCATTTGTTAAGAGGGCCAGATCTGACATAAATGAGTCCTTGTTGGGCTGGGCCATGTGTGTCATACAATGTATGCCAGGTAGCAGAGATATAAACTTTATAAACACAAACACAAAGGGTTTTTAAAAAAAACTTAAAATAAAAACATGCTTAAAACATTAGCATTCTTGCAATATTTGTTTATTTAACAGTGTCTGATAACTGACGCCTCTTGCGCTGAATTCTTGCATGAAAATGCCTGTGCTGTTGCAATCTCAAGTATGCTGCTCAGTTGTGTATCTGTAATCTGCAAACCTACGATGACACAGCAGCAGAACTGGAAGAAGCAGCAGAGGACAGCCAGTTCCACCGCGGGCCGGATAGAAGCCCTCCAGGGGCCTGATCCGGCCCCCGGGCCGCATGTTTGACACCCCTTGTTTAAATGGCCACACCGACACCTTGCATGCCCCTAAATTGTCACAGACAAAGCCATGGATAAAGTGCTTGATGCCTGTTTTTCTTAAGCTGCTCAAGTAGCGTCTGTCAGCGCTTCTTCCCTGTGTTTGGGGCACACAGAGGAAGGATTTGTGAAGTCCCGCTGAGCAAATGGGCCTGACCTGCTGCTGCGGGTGTGTGTGTGTGTTCATTGTTGTCTGAGTAAGGAAGCGTCATGCCCAAGGGACCGCCTTTCCCCATATGTTCCCCAAAGGACACTGCGATCGGTGACCTAGAACCGGCTGGCCCCTCCAAGCATCAAGGAGGCCAGACTGGTGGCAGCCAGGGCCAGGGCTTTCTCGGTGCGGGCTCCACTCTGGTGGAAGGAGCTCCAGGAAGAGATTAGGGCCCTGCGGGACCTTTCACAGTTCTGTAGGGCCTGTAAAACGGAGCTCTTCCACCAGGTTTTTGGAGCCGCCACCACTAAGAAGAAGAAGAGATTGGATTTATACCCCGCCCTTCACTAACCAAAGGTGTCTCAGAGCGGCTTACAAACTCCTTTTCCCTTCCCCTCCCCACAACAGACACCCTGTGAGGTAGATGGGGCTGAGAGAGCTCTTGACAGTAACTGCTCTTTTTCAAGGACGGCTCTTATCAGAACCACGGCTTCCCCAAGGTCATTCAGCCAGTTGCAAGTGGAGGAGTAGGGTATCAAACCTGGTTCTCCCAGATTAGAATCCGCGCACTTAACCACTAACACCTCCACCGCCAACAATTAATATCTACCCTGGCGGAGCCCTAGCCCGTAGGTCCCTCAAACACAGCCCGTGCCAATGACCTGAGATAGCCGCAGAAGGCCGAAGAGTCAGTTGAGATGAAGAGGATTGTTGCAAGCACTTTTATTTTGTTTGAATTTTTAGTGTCGTATTTATTATTCTCTGTGATTTTATTATGATTGTTTTATGCGAATTTTATTGTTGTAAGCTGCCCAGTTCCCATGAATTGCAAGTGCAATGTCACATTCACGTGGCAATGTGTTTGGTGGCCTCCAGTTGCTAGGACAGCAAATCAATTACAAAGGGATTAAAATGGTTTTGACTATAGACTCACCTAGGATAACCAGGTAAGGGATGGTGGGGAGTAGAGATGTGAAGGCCCGGAAAAAACTGGGAAAATTCGGGGAAAAACCCGTTCGTTTTCCTTTTTTTTTCCCTGAAGCCTTTTTTGTTTTTTTTCTGAAAAATTGAAAAGAGAAAAGGAAAGGAAAAAAAATTGATTATGGAACATTTTATTTTAACATGATGAATAAAATATTTGAAGACAAGGTGTTCAAATATTTTCCAAATCATTTCTAAAAAATATGTATGGTATCAGATTGATCTAATTTCTGTGCACTGAGGACAAGCGAGTCCTAGGTTACAAACTGAACTCTCCAATGCAAGAAGACACATTTTTTCCTTTAGGAGATGCGATTGTCACAAGAAACGAAAAAGGTTTCAGTTTTGTTTTTGCATGTGGGTGGGTATTCTGTTTGTAATAATTGTTTGGGTACACTATATTTTTAATATTCTAGTTGTGATAATGTCATGCCAAGTAAAAATGTCCATAGTCATATTTTATGTTCCTAAAGTAACAGAATGACTTTCAATCTGGAAAAGAAAAAAGAACTGCTAATGTAGCATTTTTTTCAATTTTTCCAAAAATTTCCATTTTTCCCCGGGGGGGGGAACGGGAAAAAACCGGGGGGGGTTCCGCGCTTCAAAATTTCCGGAAATTTTACATCTCTAGTGGGGAGTTGGTTAGTTTTACTGTTTTTTCCTGAGAAAATCAGTCTTTGACACCGATGGATTTAAAGAGGGACGAGAACTGCCAAAACTCAGACCCTTTGCACCTCTAGGATCAGTTTTTCAGACAAGCCGCTGGTCAGTATTTGATGGCACACATTCGATGTGACTGTAGGACCTCTTTTGGGTCAGACCTGCGTTACCATCCCAGGACTAAAACCTGAAATGGACACCATCTGTGAGGCTTTAAGTATGACCTGTACCAGAGGAATGTTGCCGTATCCGATTGGTGTTTTAACTGTTTTGATTCTTTGTATGAGCTGCGGTGGCTCAAGTGGTTAAGATGCTGAACTGCAGGCTGTGGAAGGTCAGTAGTTCAGCAGTTTGAGACCCAGGGTGCCGCATGACGGAGTGAGCTCCCGTCTCTAGTTCCAGCTCCTGCCAACCTAGCAGTTCGAAAGCAAGAAATTGCAAGTAGATAAATAGGGACCACTTTGGTGGGAAGGTAACAGCGTTCCGTGCGCCTCGGTGTTTAGTCATGCCGGCCACATGACCACGGAAACGTCTTCGGACAGCGCTGGCTCTTCGGCTTGGAAACGGAGAGGAGCACCACAACCCTAGAGTCGGACTTGACTGGCTTTCGAGCAAGGGAACCTTTACCTTTACCATGCTATATATTGTTTATTATGTCTGCCGGAACCCGTCATGAGCCTGCTGGGGGGGGGGGGCAGGATGTAAATCCAGAAAAATAAAATACAAAAAATATTTGTAGACCAGGGAAGAGTCTTGAGTGAGTGACCCCTGTGAGATGCTACGAGAGGTAAGGCTGTTTGTGTCGCCTGTTTACAGGTACCAGGCTCGTCCTGTTTGGTGTAGTGGTTAAGTGTGCGGACTCTAATCTGGGAGAACCGGGTTGATTCCCCACTCCTCCACTTGCAGCTGCTGGATGACCTTGGGCAAGCCATAGTTCTGGTCAGAGCAGTTCTCTCAAGGACAGCTCTGGAAAGAGCTCTCTCAGCCCTTCCGACCTCACAGGGCGTCTGTTGTGGTGAAGGAAAAGGAGTTTGTAAGCCGCTCTGAGACTCCCAAGTGAAGGGCGGGATATAAATCCAATCTCCTCCTCCTCCTCCTCCTCCTTTTCTTCTTCCTCCTCCTCCTCCAAGGGAGGAGGGGTCCAGGCATAACAGGAGGTCTTGCTAACCCCTCCCCACTCTTGTGTGATGTTTCCCTGATTCTGAAGGACTTCAGAAGGGGCTCTCTCCCGCCTTTTGACCTTCTCTGGCTTTTCCGCAGCTTCGCCCCCAGGGCTGAGTACCAGTAACGGCAGAAGAGTGCAACCCTTATCAAACGCTAATGGAGCTTAAGAGATCTACCCTTTTGAAAGGACGGCTCGTGGTAATAAATAATGGACAGCTGGAGGGGAAAGGGAAAGGTGGGGCGATTAGATCAAGAGGCAAGCAGGCTTTTAGAAGCGGGATAATGGAACAGCGGCAGATGCCTTGCTGCGAATTACTTACAAACACACGGATCGCTTCTACTTCTCCTAGAGTGGCCCTCTTTTCGCACGGACCGGGCCGAGCTTCCATTTGCACAGTGGAGAGATGGGGACGCATCTCTGTCTGCCACCGGAACCGCAGCCCGAGGGACGAAGCCCCAGTGTGCACGGAGTCGTGGGATCTCTCCCCTGGCCTCCACTCCATTTTTAAGGGGAAGAACCATGTGATAAACTGGATTTCCACATAGGTTTGTGCATAGGGCGCCGACTGCATATGTGCAGATAGGTTTGCGCATAGAGCGCCGACTGCATGCATGACATCCTGCACACAATGGAAGGCACATGCGCATAAATCTGTATAAACCTGTATAGATCGATGGTGCAGCCTCATTCAGAATACTGCGTGCAGTTCTGGCCACCACCCCTCAAAAAAGATATTATAGCATTGGGAAAAGTGCAGGAAGGGGGATGGAACACTTAAAAGAGGTTAGGG